ATCTCCAAACGTAAGGATCAAGGTACAAGCAAGCTTCGGTTATCGCTTTTATTTTTAAAGCGACAATAGCATCACTGTTTCATCTGTTTCACTGTGACATCATTCTTTTTTAGAAGTTGGTCATAACCAAAATGAGGGCGATAGCGTTCCACCTTAATAGCAAAAACTGTCCAAGAATAAACTGTCTTATAACCTATTTGAGTTTAGTACGCTGGGCTAAGCAAAAAGGAAAGCCTTATATTGTAGAATAATTACAACACACCGATTTTTTAATTGCAAAACGTTATTAAAGGGCAATGGGGTTAAAAGTACTAATGGAGAAAAGGTGAAAAAATATGATTTGATGAGCATGTGCAAATCTCAAATCATACGCAGCGCTCATTATGATTTTGTCCAAAGCCTATCAGATACTGGTAACGATAGTTTTCCGGATTTATACAGACTAATTTTCGTATAAGTAAATAGTTTTTTTTTAAATATTACCAGTAGTTTTCTATTAATTTCTTTTTTATTTCTTTACTCGAAAATTTTAGATTTAGAGACCTGCACAATACTGTCGGATCTTTTTTTACGATTCAAGTAATGAATTAAATTTTTTTCCTTGTTAGTAATATATTTTTATTTTAGTTATAAGGATGCAGGATGAATAGATAATTCATAAAATAACTATGTAATATATGGTTAAATTTGAAAAGATTTTATGTTATTGATTTAAATTTCAGATATAATAATTTCATTGCCATTTTTTAAATAATACGTATTTTTTAAAGCAAAATACTATTTATTTTGGATAAAGCAAATTGATTTAGACAATACGTAAATTAATAAAACAATAAATACAATCTTTATGATAATATAAAGATTTTATTTCATGTTCTTAATACTACATACTATTAAAATAACAACAATACCATTGATTAATATTTTAAGATTATTTTCTTAGAGGGAATGTTTATTTAGACTGTTTTGATTACGAAATACATTATATTTCAGTATAATGGAAGATAATTATTTTATTTTAATTATTCCCCTTAATAGCACTATGCTATAACGTCCCCCCTTTTTTTATTTATATTAATAATAAAACCCAAGACAAACATTATTATTTGATTAGTCCCAATGTAAAGTTTCGTACGGTAACATACCCTACCTTAATCCCTTACAATATATCAACGTCAAGGTATATAAGTCTACATACACGAAATACCATTGAGAATTTTCGCGTAGTTAGAAAACCGTAGTGAACTTTTAAGAAAATTCTACAAAAAATTCAAAACCGCTTTTTAGAGGTAATATTCCGTTCCTAAAAATATATTTGTATGCCAATTTTGATTCTTAAATGAGCTGATTTGACTTCACTATCATCAAAAATCTGCTTGCATAACTTTGAATTGCGATACTGTAAAGTTGATAAAACAGAGTTACGATATTATACGTACGAGGTGTCCGAAATTTAAACGATATAGAGAGAAACATAAAAAATACGATATACAAACGGTATCTATCCATTCTTATGTTTTGCCTTTCTAAAAAGATTCCATTTGAATGCGTTTTTTTTTTGATAATTTTAATTTGTTGGAACGAATAAAGAAGTATAAGCCTGTAACTCACTCTTAAAGATCTTTGATACTTATTAAATTTTCACAATCGCGAGAGTTTTATATTCAGATTGATTAACAATATTCACAAATTTTCGTTTTAAAAACCGGCATTTTATTTCAGTTTTATACCGCTTTTGATTTGTTTTTTCTTTGGTTTTATTTTCTTGATGCACACTTAGTTTTACTTGAAGCATCAAAAGATGGCACGAATAGGGGAAGACCTTAATAGGGCAGTCGAGGAAGGAATAGGGAAAAGGAAAGGAAATTCAATAGTCTGCGACTCAGAAGGTTTTTTTGCCTTCTAAATAGGATACGTACGACGTAACGTTGCACTTTGGTTGGGCTCCATGGTAAGGGTTTCTGTCATAGTACCATCAATGTAAGCCGTTAATAGTTTTGCAATAGGTAATCGCATATTTTTTACTTTTTTTTTTTTTGTTTTTTTTTTTTTTTTTTTTTTTTTTGTTTTGTTTTTTTTTTTTTTTTTTTCTAGTTTAGACTATATATATATTCTTTTAAACTAACAAACTACGTCCAAAATGAGGCGGAGGCGGCGGGTGAGACGCACAGGCCCGCCGCCGTCGAGCGGGGGCCAGGGAGGCGGATCTCGCCCAAGCCCTGGCCCTCTAAGTGTTTCGGGTCTCCCTCACATGTCGGCCTGGGGACCGCGAAGGGGGCCTAAGAAGACGACGTGCAAGCTGCTCTGCACGCGTTTTATGCATGAGCATCCGGGTGATGGAAGGCCGGCTATCCTCAACCCACGCTGGTTCTGACCCAGCGGGGTATTCCGTAGGATAGACCATTCTAACCGGCGCCATCTAGGCGGGCTTCGGATAGCCTGCCGACCGAGAGGGCTGGTGGTCGTGGCCCGACGACCGCCAGTCCGGCGTCCCGAGAGGGGGAGGGTGATGGGAGAGATGTGCTCCGCACTAAACGCTTCACTTTCCCCCCTTTGCCTTTTCATGAGTTTTGTCTCATGCGAGGTTTGGACGTTGGTTGTTGAGAGACAGGAGGTTTTAGTCGGTTCGACTCCGACATGCCCCGCCCTCCATCCCCAGTGAAGGGCGGAAGTCCGGCGATTTCCTCCTGACAAAAAAAAAAAAAAAAAAAAAACGTCTCAAAATACTCACGGCACTGGTTTGGTTTTACGCATTTTCCTGTATTCTCGTTTAGGTAAAATCCGTCTTTGCAATCGCAAGCATTGTCATAGCAAATTAAAATACATGCTCCTGGCTCTTTTCCGATATCGCTACACCGTTTGTTACAGTTCACGCCGCAGCCGGAACGAGCGTTGTTGTCTCCACCGCAGGATGCTTGATAATTCATAATAAGAGATTCATTAAGATAATTCACGGTAAATTGGCCTTTATTTTACTAAGTTTATGCATCCACCCGATGTCCACAGTCACAAAACTCCATAGAAACCATAAAATACTCACTTTGAGATATAAAATTTAATTTGGATATTGGTTTCCATGCGTGTCAGCTATAATTGCTAAGCTATCAATTGACTTTTTAGTTTGAAAATATCATAAAAATTAGACAGCTGAGTCATAAAGTCTTGACGTATTATTAAATCTACGTTACGACGTTGGCTAACTATATCCGACAATAACATAGAAATTGGCTTCAAAAAAAAGTAAGACTACTATCCGAAGCTTGTCTAAATGGAGACCAGTCATACTAACATACATACGTGAGGAATAGGGGAATATAAAAACAATGAGGATGAACAGTTCTAACTAAATTATGAAAATTTTTACTAATAACTGTAAGTACTCACGACAGTCGGTTTTTGGTATACACGTTCCATTATCAGCTCTAACGTAGTTTTCTTTACACAAGCACCCTTTGATGCAATTCTTGGGATCTATTCTTGGGCAAGCAACGGGTTTCCCTATTTGCGAACAATTCTTAGGTTGGCAGTACCCTTGTATACAATCATTGTAGACTTCATCTTTTCCACAAGTACGAGCTAAGAAAAAAAACATTATATCTTTAGTTTTGTTTCGTGACATAAGTTGTGAACGTGATTAGATTAATATTTTTTTATTTCTAGTATTGCGTTGTTAGTATTTCTGGGTGTAGCGAGAAACAAGGTGTATAGAGAAAAATTAAGTAATATATATCACGTTTCTACAATAAAAAATCGGTTACCAATAAATTTGTGAATTTGCGTTTTTTGTCTTTTACAGAAAATAATACAGAAATAAATTTCCGACAAATACAATACTGAAAATTTATAGTTATTAGTTTTACAATTAGTCAGTCTAGTAACAGAAGATGTAGTAGTATTAGAAGAAGTAGATGATCACTTAAAATTTTAAAAGTGTAAATTCATTTTTATAAATCTTTACTTCTTACACAAATTTCTAGTAATATAAATCCTATACATTCGTTATTAACAGATGTGTATATAAATAATAATACACTTCAGTTTCATACATATTATATTTATGTACACTATTAAATATTAAGGTAAATATTAAATATTGAGTTATAGTTATATAGTTAGGTATATAGTTGAGGTTAAATATTGAGGTCTACTTCATTTCTTTCTAATTAATTTATTCTATAAACCAGTGAATATCAAACCTATTTCTTTTACCGCCACCTTTGTAAATCTATTATGTTTCAGCTCTCCCATTTTTTATACACCCCTAAAACTTAAAAACCACAATTTCATTACTTTAATTAATTTAGTTATATTAGTCGGTTCTGATGTTTAAACTTACATTCTAAACTAGAAATTTTTACCAGTGAGAGCAAATAAAACCCAACTTTATAATATTAATAATACATTTTAATCAAATTAAAATAAACAATATAAATATGTAATCAGTTTTCGTTTTTATACTAATCTAATGAGATGCATGAATTTGATGATATTTAATAAGTTTGTTGATATCAGGTTCGATTTTACTCAAAACCAGTCGTAAGTCGCCGCGTTTGGTAAGTTGCAAGTGATTTCTCTTTTAGGTAAGAAGTAAAGTAGAAAGAAAGTAAAGAAAACTTCTGTTTATGTTGGTTTACGTATGTATAATATATTAAAACTCTGCATGGTAGTTTTTTTCCTAATGTTTAAAATAATTTCTGGTGCAACGTAATTAAGGTAAAATTGCTCTAATTTGTTAACTATAAGTTTTTATAACATCATACTGGATAGAAATATAAACTAATTATTCGTTATTGTGTTTTAATGGGGTGTTTTAATGTGTTTTTGTGGGTTTTAATTTTAGTGAAATTTAAAATACTATATAAAGTAAATGTAAATACAAATCATACATCGCCCCCCTAGCCCACATCAACGCCCTCCATTTTTTCTAGGCCCCTTAAGCCCCCCCCTATATGTTTCAAACGCCCCCAAGGGGGCACTATCGTCCACTTTGAGAAAGACTGCTATAAACTAATAAGATAGGACATCTATAATTTCCTTAGTTTTGAATTTATTTCTTTTCCTCATCGTAATTTGCTCGTCTTTCTTTTTGTGTTATCTTTTGGCCGATGTCCATTTCTATTTACGCTTTTATATAGATATTGTATTTTCTCTATTTTTCCTTTTTTTTCAATTTTGATTTGCTTGTTTTCTGCGTACAGCGAGCAATGCTAAATATGACCAGTCTCCACTGTTGTGAGAGTCAACGTTTGGTAAATATTTACATGCAAAAACAATAACCACACAGCTTCTTCTTAAAAAAATATTCATTCCATTGTTTTGTAATGAAAGTACTTAAAAAAACTTCATTAAATAAACAGTCGGTATAAATTAAATTTTTCCGAAATTGACCACAAAAATACAATAATTGTACTCAATAAATTATCCAAACTTACTGCAGTCTTCGGGTAAAACACATTTATTAATGTTATCATCGTAATAATATCCGTCTTTACAATCACAGCCGTCTTCGTAGCAAACAGCAGCACAACTTTGAATTTCTTTGCCGATATTAGAACAATGTCTGTTACAATTTACTCCACATCCAACAACGGCGTTCGGATCCCCATTGCATGAGTCTAATAAATAAAATGTAAATGAAATTAATCGTTCAATTTGAAAATCAATCCATTATTCATTTATATGACCAGATAGTTAATCCATTATGTTATCATATTTTTTGGCTTTGCACCATTTTTTTTGGCCACCATTTTTGCACCATTTTTTTTTATTTTTTAATAAGGATACTTTACTGGCATTGCCATTGTCTTCGAGCAACGGTATACACTTACTATATGGCATGCTATTAAATAAAAAAAATGTAACTTTTCTTTTTAATAAAATCAATTAATTATGAATTACATAATTAAAAGTATTTAATAATTAATTAATTTAATATTTATTTATGTGAATAATAATTAACATTATTTGTGATTTAATTTTAGAATAGTTATAAAATGGTCACGGCTTATAAAAATCATAGAGATTACGTACGTACCATCACAATCATCTCGAACACAAACTCCTTCATCTTTTCTCACATATCCTACTTTGCAAATGCATCCTTGAATGCAATCCATGGGATCCACATTACAATCTGGACTATCATAGCAATTGGCGCAATCTGAAGATTCTTCGTTTTCGCCACAAAGTGGTTTTGCTAAATTAAAAAAGTTTGATATTTGTTTTTTGGATGCACTATGGTACAGCTTACAGTTTTCATGTATAGAAATTTTAAAATTGCATTAACTACCATCCATAAGTTCGAAACATAGGAAATAGCTGTATAAAAATTCTAACCCCGAGATCAAATCTTGAATTTTTGATGTTGAAGAATAAAGTTAGCCCTCGTGGGAAGATACCACTGTCCTGCCTATGTTTCTTTTATAGAGTAAACGTGTGAATGAGCTCCGGTCCACTTGGTTGTAATTACCTGAGCCCAGAGTCATCAACAACGTAAATTCCGCCACTCACGTTGGGACATGAGTTCTGAGTTTTAGTTTTATAATATTACGGGTACCCCATCCTTCAAACCAAAACGAATTATTACTACGCGGCCGGGGAATAGATATAGGCCAAGTTATGTGCCATGCGTTCCTATTTTAAAGGGTGTGACAGCCGTTATACAATATGTTTGATAATTTGAAGTCGTGTTTCTTGGTGACATATATACATATTGTGATATCTATAGGTTCCAGTTACCACTTAAAACCAGATGGTCTGTGAAAAACACTAATAAAGCTGATGGAATTTTGTGGACTACTTATAGAGTTCTGTTGACAATATGAACCAGCATTTTTTTACTTTAATTGTGCATTTATCAATCCTTATAAATATATTTCTCCTGTGCGTGTGTTTGTCACTGAACTCCTAAACGGCTGGACCGATTTGAATGATTTTTTTTGCATGCCTTTGGGTGGCACCCTGGATGATTTAGATTCACAAGTCATTCCGAAGAATGGCGCTGCAGTCAGTGTCTAGGTTATTTATCTATACAACTAAACGGCTGGATCGACTTGAATGAATTTTTGCAGGACAACGTCTGTCGAGTCTGCTAGTTACTTAGATAAATTTAAACGAGTATAAGAGAAACATAAAAAATAGCATACAAACGGTATGCTATCATTTATGTTTTGCCTTTAAAAGCATTCATTTGAATGCGGTTTTTGTTTCTGATAAGTGTTTAATGTTGTTGGAGCTGATCAAAAGATAAACTTGTTAACTCATTCCGAAGATCTTTGATACTTATTAAATTTTCACAATCGCGAGAGTTTTATATGCTGATTGATTAACAATATTCACAGATTTTCGTTTTAAAAACCGGCATTTTATTTCAGTTTTATACCGCTTTTGATTTGTTTTTTATTTGGTTTTATTTTCTTGATGCACACTTAGTTTTACTTGAAGCATCAAAAGATGGCATGAACAAGGGAAGACCTGAATAGGGCAGTCGAGGAAGGAATAAGGAAAAGGAAATTCCAATAGTTGCGACTCCAGGAAGGTTTTTGTCTTGTAAGATAGGATACGTACGTACGTAACGTGCACTTGTGGTTGGGCCTCCATGGAAGGTTTCTGTCATAGTACCATCAATGTAAGCGCGTTAATAGTTTCAAGTAATCGACATTTTTCATCCTTATTTTTCTAGTTTATTAGTATTGTATATTTTTTAAACTACAATCGACGTCTGAAAATACTCACGGCACTGGTTTGGTTTTACGCATTTTCCTGTATTCTCGTTTAGGTAAAATCCTTCTTTGCAATCGCAAGCATTGTCATAGCAAATTGCAATACATGCTCCTGGCTCTTTTCCGATATCGCCACACCGTTTGTTACAGTTCACACCGCAGCCGGAACGAGCGTTGTTGTCTCCACCGCAGGATGCTTGAAAATTCATAATAAGAGATTCAATAAGATAACTCGCGGTAAATTGGCGTTTATCTTATTAGTCGAAATTTATAGACGGGTTTATGCATCCACCCGATGTCCGCAGTTACAAAACTCCATAATAGACAAAATAAAAAAATAAAAAAGCCTTTTATTTCTTCCATAAATTGCTAGTTTACAGTTGCATAGTTTTAATAGTATCAAAAAAGAAATTTTATTTAATGGATATTAATTGTTTTTTTATATGAGGAATTTGAGTATGCTGATTTTCCTAGTTTTGGTATTTATATTTATATATATATATTTTTTTTTAATACAATTTTTGTTTAAAATTATTCTGTAAGAACCCCTCTGCAGGTAAATGAGCTCACGGGCTCAAATTTAATGAATTTTCTAGTACTAGCCCTAGCAAGAGCAGTGCTTCTCAATCTACCACCGGATCGGAATGGCGACCCACTGAGAACACCCGGCGAGAAACTCGGTGACCGGTGCTTGAAGAGCCTAAAGCACTAACAGATCCAACAAGACATGTCTCGGGCAAGGGCGGCTTTGCATAGTCACATCGCTTGGAACGGATATGCAGTTATCGGCAGCCACGATAAGGGATTATCATGTAGAGCCGCTTTTTTAGAGCTTTTTATTGTTCAGCGGGGAGAATGAATGAACGATGATACTTATACTTATAATATACTGTTAGAAGATGATACAATTTAGATTAGAAATTTTCTATTTTGCGAGGGAGCTCAGACCAACGAAGGATTGAAAATTAATTAATAGTATTTAAATATTACTCGTATAAACTTACGGCACTTTTCTCCAGGTATACAAGTGCCATTTTCAGCCCTCAAATATCCTTTTTTGCACAAACAGCCCTGGGTACACGAACTAGCCTGGATCATCGGACATGCTACTGGATACCCAAGTTGAGAACAATTCTTAGGTCCACATTGTGCTTGAGTGCAATTGGAGTAAACTTCGTTTCGTCCACATGTTTTTGCTAATAGACATTCAAAAATCAAATCACCATGAAAAATATTAGAAAAAAATAAATAGTCCGTTTGTTTTTTGACATCGACATAATATCCCAAGACAGTGTTAAACGCCAGACGATTCGCCAAAATAAAAACAAATGAATATGATCACTTTAAATTTATAAGACTAAATTTAATTTTATAAATCTTTACTTCTTACACAAATTTCTAATAATATAAACCCTTTACATTCGTTATTAAAAGATGTGTATATAAATAATAATACACTTCAATTTCATACATATTATATTGATGTATATTAATAAATATTGTGGTAAATATTAAATATTGAGTTATAGGTATATAGTTGAGGTTAAATATTGAGGTCTACTTCATTTCTTTCTAATTCATTTATTTTATAAACTAATAAGATAGGACATCTATAATTTCCTTAGTGTTGAATTTATTTCTTTCTCCCATCGTAATTAGCTCCTCTTTCTTTTCGTGTTATCTTATGGCCGATGTTTCTATTTACGCTTTTATGTAATTATCGTATTTTCGCAATTTTTTCCTTTTTTCAATTTAGATTTGCTTGTTTTTGGCGTACAGCGAGCAATGCTAAATATGACCAGTCTCCACTGTTGTGAGAGTCAACGTTTGGTAAATATTTACATGCAAAAACAGTAACCACACAGCTTCTTCTTAAAAAAATATTCATTCCATTGTTTTGTAATGAAAGTACTTAAAAAAACTTCATTAAATAAACAGTCGGTATAAATTGATTTTTTCCGAAATTGACCACAAAAATACAATTGTACCCAATAAATTATCCAAACTTACTGCAGTCTTCGGGTAAAACACATTTATTAATGTTATCATCGTAATAATATCCGTCTTTACAATCGCAGCCGTCTTCGTAGCAAACAGCAGCACAACTTTGACATTCTTTGCCGATATCAGAACAATGTCTGTTACAATTTACTCCACATCCAACAACGGCGTTCGGATCCCCATTGCATGAGTCTAATAAATAAAATTTACCAATGAACATTAAATTAAATTAATCTTTGAATTTAAATACAAATGTTATTATTCATTATTATTTGACCAAGTAGTTAATCCATTATGTTGTAATATTTTCTGGCTTTGCACCAAAGCAGACCTTCTTTTTCTTTGACCATGCACTACTGCATTCATCAACAGTGCATTTTAAGGCATTTTTTTGAGAATTTTTTTTGGGCTTTAGAGCGAAATTGAGTGAAGTTCACTCTAAGCTGTGATCCCACAGCTTTCGAGTAGTAAACAATGATAAAGATACTTTATTGGCATTGCCATTGTCTTCGAGCAACGGTATACACTTATTAAATGTACCAAAAAATTTAACTTTTCTTTTTAATAAAATCTATTAATTAATTATGAAATAATTAAAAGTATTCTAATTTTAGGATAGTTATAAAATGGTCACGGCTTATAAAAATCATAGAGATTACGTACGTACCATCACAATCATCTCGAACACAAATTCCTTCATCATTTCTCACATATCCTACTTTGCAAATGCATCCTTGAATGCAATCCTTGGGATCCACATAACAATCTGAACTATCATAGCGATTGGCACAATCTGAAGATTCTTCGTTTTCGCCACAAAGTGGTTTGGCTAAATTAAAAAAAGTTTGATATTTGTTTTCGGTTGCGCTATGGTACAACTTACAGTTTTCATGTGTCGAATTTTAAATATTGCGTTAGCTACCGTCTAATAGCTCAAAACATCAGAAATAACGATATAAAAATTCTATCCAGGAGACCAAATCTTGAAATTTTGTTGTAAAAGGAATAATGTTAGCTGTCGCGGGAAGGTACCACGAACCTGTCTATGTTTGTTTTATAGCGTAGATTTGTGAATGAGCTCACACAGCCCACCTGGCTATAGTTAGCAGAGTCCTTAGAGCCCCAGATCTTTTAAACCCAAACGCATTACTTCGCGGCAGAACTGGGCAGAGGAATACAAACAGACAAAGTCATGTGCCATGCGTTCCGATTTTAAGGGTGCGACAACCGCTATACAATACACGTAATACATGAGGTCCAATGTTTGAAGGTGGGTGCTGCTATAACTATACACATATATTGTGATATCTATAGGTTCCAGTAACCACCTAAAACCAGGTGGGCTGTGAAAAACACTCCAATAAAGCTGATGGAATTTTGTGGCATATATCGTATAGGTATTATCATTTAGATAAATATATAATAATATGAACGTTTCTATGTTCTGTTTGCCTTTCATAACATGTTTGCCTTTCATAAGCCATTCATTTGATTGCGGTTTTTGTTGGTGTTATGTGTTTCATGTTGATGGGTCCGAGAAAAGGATAAACTTGTTCACTCACTCCTAAGATCCTTGACACACTTTAAATTTTCACAATCGCGAGAGTTTTATATTGAGATTGATTAACAATATTCAAAAATATTCGTTTTAAAAATCGTCATCGTGTTTCAGTTTTATTCCGCCGGCTTTGTTTTTTCTTTGGTTTTATTTTCGTGATGCACACTTTGTTTTGCTTGGAGCATCAAAAGAAGGCATGAATTCTGGAGGAAGTGGATAGTGAAGTTGAGGAAGGAATGAGGAAAAGGAAGTCCTTCAACTTATTATAGGTGCGTGCGGTAAGTTTCAAGGCGTGTAGCACAAATATAATATAGTACTAGTATTTTTACTGGTGGTAGGACGTCTTTTGAGTCCGCACGGGTAGGTACCGCCACCCTGCCCATTTCTGTCATGAAACAGTATGCGTTTCGGTTCTAAGGGTGGGGCAGCTGTTTTACTGTAAAAACTGAGACCTTAGAACTCATATCTCAAGGTAGGTGGCGGGATTTACCTTGTAGATGTCTGTGGGTTCCGGTACCCACTTAACACCAGGTAGGCCGTGAGTTCGACCTACAACCTAAGCAATAAAAAAGGTGCTTTTCAAAAAAAGTTTTAGCGGGACGTTATTTTTTGAAGTTTGTTAAAGTCTTGAAAATGGTACTTACATGAGCAATCTTTCGGGAGAACACATTTTTTAACAAGATCATCATACACATAGCCCGGTCTACAGTCACACGAATTCAGGATGCAGATCAGAGGACATATCTTTGGTCCGCCTTCGTAATCTGAGCAACGGTTTCCACAGTAATTACCGCATCCAGGTTGAGCATTTTCGTCTCCTCCACATGAAGCTAAAAAAGGTCAAATAAATGTGAATGCTTATGTTTACTTCACACATAGAAGGATCCGTGTGGTCTAGAATATCACTACTCTATCTCTTCTCGTAGAAGGCAACAAAAGTCACGTGAAATGGGCAGCCATCTACTCTGAGTACTATACTAGTATATTACAAAGTTAGAGTAAATATTAAGGCCGCCGTAGACACCACCGTCTTATTTCTAGCGCAAAGAAATATTCTGCTTTAATCGGCGGAATAAATAACGTTTTCATATATATATATATATATATATATACATACATAGGTTTGCATTCTTAATTGCATAACGTGCAATTAAAACTGCATACCTATGTATGTCTCCAGGTGAATGACTGTATTTATGTTCAGACATCTATGGTTTCCGGTAAAAAAAAAAAAAGTACAAAGGCAATAAAAAATAAAAAAAAAACCTCTTAATACCAGTCTTAATATCAGCTTGTTCATTTTATCAAAGAACCTCAATATTAACGCAACTTTTTTTTTTTGAAAAATTTGCTTTTTGTAAGATTTTTAATACCTACAAAAATCATCAACCTTATCTTCCATTTACGATTGCATTCAGAGGTGTACTTTTATAAAATTGTACCTCACTCAGTATAGCTCTAAGATACTCATACAGTGCTTGAGCTAAATTTTAAATTTCTATGGTTCAAATTATACGTACTGGTTTAGTTTTCGCGATATTTTATGTCATCCCATCGTGATCATTTTTATTGGCAATCATAGAGAAAAACTACATAGCTCTATAAAGTTTACTTACGGCATTGATCCTGTGGTATGCAAACGTTTTTATTGTTTCTGACGTATCCATTATCACAGACGCAACCCGGTTTTCCGGGACAAGTACCATTATTGACAGATGCTGGACAGTTTGTACCGAAGCCGAGTTCAGAGCACTTTTGTGGACCACACAAAAATGCAGGACACTTATCGTACCTCTCGTTTTCAGGACAAACAGGATCTAAAAGATTGATTACTTGAAATCATTTAAGTTTGAGCATGAGATGAGCATTATTATAGATATCGACGCTTGAAAGGCAAACGTGACTAAGCGACAATGCGTGAACTTTACAGTAGAGCAATTTAAAGTCGAAACATCTGAAAAAAAATTTATTTTAACGAATCTAACTGTAGGATTGAAATTATTTTAATAGACCTAGAAATAGTTTTTTTTGCCCATCGAATATATTTAAAGGCTATTGCCTATCATTTGTGTATATAGCAGTTATTGTCGCTTATATATATTGTCCATAATTTGATAAACAGGTAAAATTATCTGAATTTTATATAAAAGGTTTCTCGTCACAAGTAAAATTATCTAAGCCAGCATTGAAAGATTTGGAGTAACATATAAAACAATATGAGCTATCGTTGAAAGATTTTCAGTAACATGTAAAGTTGGACAAATTCGCACAGCTTACAGTTTCGTTTTGGGTATATTGGACAAAAGTGATCCCATAGTTCACAACAAATCGAGTAAATGTATCTAAATACTATTCCATTTTTTTATACTTGTAAAAAGTGTAAAGAATTGAACTAAAATGTAATAAATTACAATGGTAAATCATGCAAAAGAGCGAAACCAAAAGAGCGATAAAAACTGTACTTAACTGTAATTTTGTACACATGGTTAATTTATATTATATAATTTGCGTAATTACTGGTGGTAGGACCTATTGTGATTCCGCGCGGGTGGGTACCACCACCCTGCCTATTTCTGCCGTGAAGCAGTAATGCGTTTCGATTTGAAGGGTGGTTGAGACCTTAGAACTTATATCTCAAGGTGGGTGGCGTATTTACGTTGTAGATGTCTATGGGCTCCAGTAACCACTTAACACCAGATGGGCCGTGAGCTCGTCTACCCACCTAAGCAATAAAAAATAAAAAAAGACAAACAGACAAATCGAAAATTAATGGACATACTTTGGAATTTAGATATTAATTTCTGTGATTTTGGATACTCACCATTGCATTGATCAAAAGGTACACAAATATTGTTTTTATTCCGTGCATAGCCTTCCTCGCAGTAACACATTTCATTACATTTTATATTAATTATCGAACAACTTGTCTGGTTCTCTTCGCTTAGTTTGTCACAAATGTTGTCGCATGCTCCGCCACAAGAATAATATTCNTTCGCTTAGTTTGTCACAAATGTTGTCGCATGCTCCGCCACAAGAATAATATTCATGTTTTCCGGGACATCTTCCTGTAATAAACATGTTTATCGAATTACTTAGCCAGATTAAGTCTAAGCAAGTAACTTAATACGTACGGCAATCTTCTTCCGAAATACATTCTCCGATTAAATTTCTGTAGTAGCCGGGTTTGCATTTACATTTTCCTACGCAAGTTTGGTTATTCTGCAATGGACACGCATACGCTTTGTCGAGACTGTCGCACGTCTGTGGAGGGCAGTCGAAGGTACACCGCTCGTAAACTTCGTTCGGCTTGTTACAAGACTCTGAAATAGTAAAATAGAATCAGTGAAATACAAACGGAAAATAAAGTAATATAACCCGAGCAATCGTGTTAGTTAATTGATAAAATATTAGAAAAATAAGTTTTGGTATACCAAATATAGTTTATGTTTCGGTAGTGATTAAGAAAAAATGTGGAAACAAGCGCTCATATGTATGTGCTTTTTAGTGCAATGGACAGACCAATAAGTTAACAGTCTGAGTGTTAAGGACTTCAGTAATCGCTCGCCCAGAAGACGATAGACTCCACAATTTTAAAATTACCGCCGATCACAAAACATTACGTAAAATTAGTTACTAGTTTTATTGTTTAAAACAAGCTGTCCCACTCTACAAACCTAAATAAATGTTTTGCGGTAAATATTGAAAGGTTTTTTTTTAAATGCTTATATGTGTGGACGAGCTCACAGCCCACCTAATGTTAAACGCTTACTGGAACCCATAGACATCTACAACGTAAATACGCCACACACCTTGAGACATAAGTTCTAAGGTCTCAATGTAGTTACAACGGCTGCCCCACCCTTCAAACCGAAACGCATTACTGCTTCACGGCAGAAATAGGCGGGGCGGTGGTACCTACCCGTGTGGACTCACCACAAGAGGTCCTACTACCAGTAAACCAGTAAACCAGGCTGCTGACAGGATCATCATATTACTAATACTTTTAAGATGAATAATCGATTGGTGGTTGGTGGATGAGGAGAGTCGAAGACCGGGCTCAGTGGTGTAATTTGGGACAGGCTTATGTCCAGCAGTGGACGACTATGGACTGATGATGATGAATGAGCGATAAGCAACAACATATACGCACGAGGACAAGATTGTTCAGGAACACATAAGCCGTTTTCGTCGCGTAAGTATCCCTCTTTACAAATGCAACCTTTCCTGCAATTCTTAGGATTAATTTTAACGCAAGGTACGGGTCTGCCTAATTGTGTACAGTTTTTCGCATTACAACCACCGTTTGTACAATGGGAATACACTTCATCGGGACCGCATATTGAAGCTAAAAAACAAACAATGAAATTTAATTAGGGCTTGATCGAAAGTTAAGATTATTACTTCTTTTTTTTTTCGTTTATTCCTTCGTTTTCTCCGCACTCTGTGAAGGTTCTTATCGTTAAACATGCACCATTTGAAAAACTGTGTTCTATTTTTCTTCCTGATTAAAACAAATGAAGAGGACTTTATTGGAAATTAATTTATGAATATTACGGAGTTAAAAGTTTGAGATTCCTCAACTTTTTTCAATCCAAACTTTTTAAGACCATCAAGGATAATCTAGACTTTTTATATATAAGTATATGTCGGCGCAAATATGACTATTTACCTACTGATCATCAACTAATTACTCTGTGATAAGAAATTGATGTTAAACAGTCTTGTAAACACGCTGACGTGTACGAAGTCCTATAAATACGGCCGTGCTGTCTAGCGTTTAGTCATTCGTGTCCGAGCCGTAGCACAGTACGGATCTCTCTGTAACGTTGTTATGCTTCTCGTGCAATATACGCAGTTCTCGTGAAGTTTTGTTTTGAAAGCCCAAACATGAGTCATCGTCGAGAACTTAATGACCGTGACGTCAGCAATGCTGACGTCACACTTTTTAAAAACATTCCTTCAGCGTTTCTCCTCCGTCATATATAATTTATTTATTTATTTTTTATCTATAATTTAACAAATATATAATATGAATGTTAAAGATTTCGCATCTATTATACACAGCATTCCCTATTATAAGAGCAATCTGATTTAAGGATGAAAATGAAGAAAACCACATTACTACACATCAAAAAAGAAGTTTCACTTCATTCACGTGCACCAAGTTGCACACGCACCGTTTTTTTTATTAGACCAAATTATTTCCATAAGGGGTCTCGAACTACGAATAAATAGACTTATTATTTATTCGTAGGTCTCGAATTAAAAAAATATAGTATCCCAATGTTCAGAACGAAATGTCTGAAATTAATTGTAGTAACGGTGATGACGATAACGTTGTTTAGTTATATATTATTATGTTGACAATATGAATTATAGTAACATATCACGTTATTCCTTCTTAAAGTATTCGAGGCGATGATAATGATAACGACAATGTAAATCTACGTACGGCATTCGTTAGGAAGCACACATTTTCCTGTGTTTTCATCAAGATAATACCCATCTTTGCAATCACAGGCGTTGACACGGCAAGCTAAAGTACAAGCTTTTGTTTCATTTGCCACTATATCGGAGCATTTTCTGTTGCAATTACTCCCACAACCGGCTCTTGCATTTGGATCTCCTCCGCATGCTTCTACGAAGGATATTATACTGTTTTATTTTTATTTATCATTCCTTGAACCTACTTGGTTTCTTCTGCATCATCCTTGTTTGGCTTGTAGAGAATGCCGATAGCATTAAGCTGGGTAATTTATATTTGTGTCCGTGAAGTTTCAAAAATAATTATTTTAAAACATACAACCTTAAGATTTCGGTACTATCCATCCATATATGGTGTTAAGATAGAAAATAATTCCAAATTCTCCTGAAGGAAGAAATTATAAGCTTTGGGCACTACTACAAATAACCTAGACTTACCACATTCTGACTGTGGTATACAGGCCCCTATGTCATTCCTCAAATACCCGTTGATACAGACACATCCCGAACCACCAGGACAACTACCGTCTGGGGTTTGCCCAGGGCAGCTTATTGGTAATCCGAATTCAGAACAATTTTTTGCAGTACATGTAGCAAATGGGCATACTTCGTATCGTTCGTTCTCTCCGCACTCTGTGAAGATTTTTATCGTTAAGCATGCACCATTTAAAAACGGTGTTCTATTTTGCTTCCTGATTAAAACAAACGAAGAGGACTTGGTTGGAAATTAATTTATGAATATTACGGAGTTAAAAGTTTTAGATTCCTCAACTTTTCTCAATCCAATCTGTTTAAGGCCATCAAGGACTCATATGCAAGGTTTCTCATATGCAATTCACTCCTATTTTTAAGAACGCTGTAGCGTCGACATTTCAGTGTTGCATCGTGGCAAAAATTATCTCAGAAGGTAAAATGAAATGAATCCAATGAATGATCCTAGGTGGTAAGAAGTTGCCGCGAAATGCTAATAAAAAGATTTTTTTTTTTTTGGTCAGGAGGAAATCGCCGCCCGAGGGACCTGGGCGGGCCCCCCGGCGCGCATTCTGCGTGGCCGGGGGCTCCGTCTGTGCGGGAGTTTTGCTGGACTTCCACCGGGCGCGTCCGTAGGTGGCGGATAACGGGATCCTCTGGGAACAGTCCCACTCCCAGGGGTATCGTCCGATCTTTTTCGTTGCAAGGATTCTTAGGTGTTAGGGAGGTAGGTTAGGTGTAGGTGTAGGGTAGCCTAGTTAGGCTTTGCAACGAAAGAGATCGGATGACGCGGACCAAAACCAGCAGGGGGAGTTGCGGGCTCTCCACGCCCTTCACTCGCTGAAGGGTGTTCCTCCTGGAGACGCTCGGGCTCCCTCTCTT